GTTGATCTGACTGATTTTATAAGCTGTACTATTCCTATAGATCATTTTCCAAACGGTTCCGCTATGATTAGTGTCTGGCGAAAATCTTCAGCAGATATTTCCTTTGCAACATCTCAACCAACAATTGGTCCAGTTATCAACGCTATTCTCAAGTTTTGATCTACTCGACTTTCGGGATCTACACATCTACATGTGCCGATGTTTCCGTTTATCAACATTATATTTTAAGATCTGTGCAAGAACTCAGCTAACAGATGTTTACTCATATAAAAGCTATCATCAAGTTTTGTACACCAAAAATACTTTTCAAATAAAGGAACCATGAGCTTCAATTTAAATTTTCGAATAAAAAGAATTATGCGCTGTTCTACACTTATAAGATCTTAGTGATTATTTTATGCACATATTTGTTTTGAATTTCACGCAAAGCTGCACTAGGGATATCTGCGCTAGCCGTCCCTAAGTTAGTAGTGAAAGAGTAGAGGGAATGCAGCTAGTCATCACCACTCATCGCCAACTCTTTGGCTACTCTTTTACCGATGAATAGTGGGAGTAACCGTCACTTTATAACGCCCCTACGGCTGAAAGGGCGAGCATGTTTGGTGGGATGGAGATTCGAACCCGCGACACTCAGATTGAGAGTCGAGCACCCTAACCACCTGGCCATGCCAGGCCTCCCCGTGTCGGGAAGAATTCAAATAGCGTATTGTTTAGATTTGCACTAAGAAAACACAAGGAAACCAACACAATTTAGAACAATAAAACACGATATGTATCACAAAATATATTTAAATGCACCAATTTCTTAAAGATATCTGATACATTTAGTTTTTAATAATAACACTTTGATAAACTCTGAAGTACTGATATGGATATGTTATACGGTAAATATGTTACATCATAATTGTTATTTTCTCTGTAGGAACAGGAGTTATATAACGGAGAATTCCGAATCAGAACTCCAGTGTGATTGTAGATTTTCCAGAAAGGGCCCAAGAAAATGAAGATAAAAAGGGATTACCGACAGAATCATGGAAATTTTGCTAAACTTCATCATCAGTCCTTATCTGTTTTTCGTGTTTCATCTGTCATTGTTTCCAAGATTCTTCTGGTTGGGTCGTACTATAATCAGGCGAGTCGTTCTAGTCAGTGTTACTGTGCCTTCTCTCAGAATTCGGTATATTGTCTTAAATAATATGTTTAGTATTTCCAGATTTGTTTTCATAGTAAATTAAAAAGAAATGGTTTACAAAAGCGGAATATGTTTATAATTTAAATTATTGTATTTAAGCAATAATTTACTTTTATACCGAGTTTGGTAACATTAGTTTACATCAACTTTAAGAAGAAATATTTAACACATAAACAAATAAAAAAAAACACGTTACATTAAGATTTGTTGGAAAAATGTGTAGATCGTGTTGAGTTGTTATTGACATATTGTTGTGCATGCCTGAAAAATTTGCTTTGTTTATGTATATCTGATTACGTGATACTTTACGTGTAATAATATGGTTTCTTCTTTCTTCTCTGAAATAATATTGTTTGGATCGATCACGAATTTCTTCTCTTAATGGAAATGGGTATTGTAAGACTAAAAGACTAAGCACTTACAACACCATGTAAGTTGAGATAATAGCATTTAATTACAAACACGTGTTTACTTGTATATAAACACTGTGGATAATGGTCAAAATGCTTATATAAAATGAGCAGTGATCAAATTATCACGAAATAATAGCAACAGGATTTGTAAACAAATGTGTATCATGATTGTTGGATATATGGTTAAGATATTTTAAATAAAGTTCACTGTTTCAATCGTCAACTTTTTTGTCTTTTGTTTTTCAGATTGGGATTATGATTGTTGAATCATCTTTATTCCTTTACATTCCTCTATAATATTTTATAAATCATAGCTACAGAATTATTCAACTTTAATTATAATACATTCGTAGAATCGGAAAAAAAAACAATAAACTACAAAAAGCCATACAGCTACTGAATGCTATTTAAACAAATATCACAAATCAAGATATATTTCTTATATCATTTACGAAGAAAAATACTATCATATTTTTTTAAATTCACAATAAAATGTTTTCATTTGTTTGATGTCAATGTTTCTATTTTAAATTATTTACCCGCGTTTTATTTTCTGGGCTCGTATAGAACTATAACACATGTGAGTGTGAGAAAAAGGTTTTTAGCCATTTTTAATACAAATTAAGCTCTTGTAGGATTCAAACCCGTGTACCAAAAGAGCTAATAACAGAATTCACTCTCTGCTGCGATAACTATGGCTTAGCTTTTGCTTCTTTACGGAATAACATAATATACGTATACAGTTTTGATTAACTGTATAATGATCATGCAGATAGGGTAAACCAAATTCGTGTTTGGGCAAATTTACTTAAGCAAATACTAATAACACTTCATACTAGAATATATCAGACACGAACTACATTTGAGTAGACAACACTATCATAAAGTCCCGCATTATATAAAAGAAACTCATTCTCTTTTGGCTACTGCACGTTGTTCGAGTACATGCTAGCATATCCACCTGAGTAATCATGGGTCTTTCTGAGAGTGCATTCAAGAATGTTGCGGCATGGTAGAAAATTAAACTAAGAATAATTAATTACGAACGTTGTTGTTGTGCTCGATTGTGCACGCAATGCAAGCTATCTAACATCTCTTTTGCTAGTCCAGTGACAGCTTAATTAGAATAATGAAATTTTGGCAGCATTCAGGTTTCAGTTATTCACAGAGCATAAAAGTAAATATAATTTGCTGAATAATTATTCCTTTTATAACAAGTTCCTTTAAACGAATCGGCACACTTTTTTATCAGTAAGAAACTCACTTCTACAGTTTAATTAGCAATCTCGCTATTGAAGTGTTAAAAGATTCTATAAATCATCATTTTAAAGATATTTCACGAAAACGTATTGAAATAAGACTATGGTTTTAATAATGCGTATTGAAACACTAAGAAAATAAAAACGTGGATCAAAGTTATTTAAGTAAGGTAAATTGTCCTTTTACTTCATTCTCTTTCATGGTATTAAATCGATCTTCCTATAACATTGTTGAATTAATGTTAGTTATGGAATTCCTACTGCTTGTTGCCCTTTGGCAACTTGCCTATTAAAGAAAATTGCGGTCTTCCAGATATGGTCTCACGGTGTCTTAGAAGTAGTTACTGATAAAGGACTTTTTGTCAGTTAATTTTCTCTTCTGAGGAAGATGGCAGGGACGTTACTAGAGCAGTAGTGGATGCAGCTAGGGACGTGTCTCTGTGTAATTACATTCTAGAACATAATAGCAATGTTGTATTATTATTACTTTTTGAATAAAGAAATTAAAAAACTAATATGTAATGTATTTTGCTATTAAAGGCCAAGGAAAACGAAATTAAATTTCCTATTTTTGAGACACTACCAAAGTCTTGATTCAAAGAATGTGTACTGGTTTCTAAGTAATTTGAAAAAAAAACAAAAAAAACATGCATTTTAATTCGATAACATAACGCCCGCAAATAATACATCCAATAACTTGAGGGAAATTTGCAACTATCCAGACAAGGGTATATTGTTTTCCTGTTTACTTCATCATCATTAACTCACATTATGTGTTCTTAGGCGTTGAATGTATAGATCCGCAACGATCTCTTTAGTTGTTTGTTTGTTTCTTATTTTCTTCTCCTTGTTTCCTTGAATTCTTGAGTTGGCCCTCCCTTGCACGATCAGACATCGCTCTGCAGCTGGCTCTTCCACCCATGATAGTCACAAATCACCCTTTATTTGCACAGGGTTCTCTCTCTCTTCTCTTTTTAAGCTTTCATTTACATTACTGTGCAGACCTTATACCACGAGTGGAGCGAAGGGGAATTACTTAATTTTCGACCACCCCGGGTTTAAACTCCTAAGTTCCTAATAACTATAAAGGACATCACCTGTGTTAAACAACTTAGTATAATACACAAAAAATTCAAAACAAGTGTGAGAACTCATAACGTATGCTAGATACAATGTAATAAACATATGTGGTGTTTTACTATTTGGTTGTTATTTTATAATTTTTTTCTAAATATTTTAAAATGAAACACAATGATGTTGTGTTTTTACTTCCGCCTAAACATTAAAATAGCAGTACCATCTGTTTTAATATACTGAACAGGCTAAATTGCTTTTTTGGTCTAATTCGAGGCTTTTCGGTAATTTACACATTTTTTTAGATATTACAACATTAGAAAAAATCAATATTTAGGAGCGTTACGTTTGTTATTACACATTGTTGGAGAGTATATTTTGTGACAGAAATGAACGAATGACAGTTATGTTTTCAAAAGTGTTTAAAGACACTTTTTCTATTGTAAAATAAGTTTTTGAATCACCTTCTGACACTACAGTAATAAAACAAACGTGAGCAACACTATAGAAAGTTAGAGGTACATAAATACGAGTATATAACTAATTTCACCCACCCCTTTTGAGAAAGTGACCAATATTTAATAAAAAAAATATTTGGTTAACCCTATTTAGAACTTATTTGCTTACTCTGTTGCCTGTCATGACACTTTTGACATTCGTCCGTCAAGTGAGGCAACTGATAGATATTTTACTCAGTTAACAAGTTGGATATATGTATAACAATAGATTTGCGTCCGGTGTAGATATTACATTAACTTTATAGTTTCACTAACAGTTAGATATGTATCATTGAACAGAGAAATCCTTGTGAAGAATGGAACAGTTGTGTTCATATTAGGTGATATCTAACTAACAAGTTAAGCTAATTCATTTTGCCGCATATTCACTGCTGTATGTTTTAGTAGGGCTTTCAAGGTCATCTTTTTTATCTCTATTTATCTTTGCCGTCTGATCATCTTTTTCTTGGCACACTCATGTTTTCAATGTTGATTTAAGACTTCCTCCAAGCTGTCTTTAATGATGCTGATATGTCTCGAGGAAAAAGATTCTATTTTCGGTCTCTTGCATCTCCAAGTACATAAAGTTTCTAACTTTGATCGAGTTTTTCCATAACACCAAAATGGATTCGGAAGATAAAGATTTTAGTTTGTTTATACATTATTCACAGTCAGAAAATGAATTAATATCAGTTGCCTTAGTGAATTTACTGTTTTAGGTAGATGTTTGGAGCAATAAAATTGTCCTGCATTGTTGTTGCATTACTTTCAGTACTACGCTGTATATTTTCTTGGTTAGCTATTAAAATCCTTTTGAAAATTTTATATTGATTTCCTGTACTGCTTGATAAATTTAACTTCTATTTAGAAAATTTTCATCGTACTCTTAATTTTGTTCTTGTCACGTGTTAGTAACTAATCTATAGACGAGGTCTATAAGATTGGAATTGTGCCTTTATTCAGATTCTTTACTTGTTACCTCCGCCACCGAAGGTTATGTTTCATCCCTGTGTGTGTGTGTGTGTGTTTGTTTGTCAGTGGGATTTTTCTAAAACGGCTGAATGGATTTGGACGCAACTTTGTATACATTTGGAATGTGTCCAAACTTAGAAGTGACTAGTTTTTGGAGGATCAAGATCAAAGTTTAAGGTCACAGCAAGGTCACGAATACCCCAAAAAATCCCTATCTGTTAACATGGGGAGCAATTTTACACGGTATTTTTGCTCTGAAAACACCATCAAAAATGATCGGATTTTGATGAAACTTGGTGGATATATGTAGAATATTATTCCACATTATCCTACCAAAAATGGTCCGTGTTCGTTGATAATGTCGGACATACGGATACATTTTCGTATTTTTTTAGAGCCGAATATAATCAACGCCACGTGGCAAAGTTATACGCTCTACTTGCCCCTCTAGTTTGTATTGTTTTCACACTATCTCATAAACCTTAAAACTCAACCATAAAAATAAAACATTGCACATTTTTTGTTGTCTGACAATTCACATTTCACCTTCAGGCATTGTACAATTCATTGGAAGTGTTAACAACGAGTGTCATTGCATTCTGAATACCTGTGGAAGCTGAGGTTGTGAACCCCTGTTCCTTGGTTCGTTTAAGTCCCATGAACTACATTTATCCCGCTATGTGTGCATACCACTCACTGTTTTCGTCCCTGAGCTACACAACTGGTAACTCTTACTATCATGTTTTACTCAGAAAGAGAAGACACTACATGGTAGGATTGACTCTATGCATTGAGAAGACCGCTCTATTTACTTCTGACCCAGAATCATACAATCAGTTTTGGAT